TGTAATAGACTCTACCAGGTTCTTTGCTTGCGTATCCCATACAGCCTTAGAGATTAGGATTTGAAACTATCAGTCTGTGATTAGACCTCTTTTCTTCCTCATTTATATTGTATATTACTGTATTCATTGCATTACCTATATGTAGGCAACATTTTTACGTATAGGTAAGATTTTGCTGATATTTTAAGTTAGTAATTTTCATTAGTGACCTGTATATATCATGTGATATACTTATTGTAAATTACTTCCTGATTTTTATTTAATTATTCTTGTTTCTATGTGTGATTCCTATCATTCTACTCATATAACCAAAATATGTCTGAATTTACTTTTATTCAAATGAAATAATTCTAAAATTGTTCACTTTAAAATAGGTACTGGTTTTTTAAAATGCTATGTGGACATTCTACAAAATAATGAAATATACTATTTAAAATTGTCAGAGAATACAAAGAATGTCTAAAAGAAAAAAAAAAACGGTTGCAGATTAAAGGAAAGTAGAGAAATAAAAATTAAATGCAATGTGAGAGTCCTTCTGTGTTTGTGTATCACCCAAAATTCATACATTGGAAACTTAATCCCAAATACAAATGTGCTGGAGAGGTCAGTCCTTTAAAAGGAACAGATTGATCCTGCTTGCAGGAATGGGTTCTCTCTCTTGCTCTTCTACCTTCTACCATATGAAGACATAGCACAGAAGCCCACACCAGTGCCAGCACCTGGAACTTCAATTTCCCAGCCACCAAAACTATAATAAATAAATTTCTGCCAGGCACAGTGGCGCAGGCCTGTAATCCTAGCTGCTTGGGAGGCTGAGGCAGGAGGACTGCGAGTTCAAAGCCCCCCTCAGCAATGGCAAGGCACTAATAAGCAACTCAGTGAGACACCCTGTCTCTAAATAAAATACAAAATAGGGCTAGGGGTGGGTCAGTGGTCGAGTACCCCTGAGTTCAATCTCTGGTACCAAAAAAAAAAAGGAAAGAAGTTTCTGTTTCTCATTAATTACCCAGTCTCATATATTTTGTTAAAGCAACACAATGCAGTAAGACAATACTAGACTGAATTTGAGGGGAAAAAAATACATTACTGAGATGTTTGGTAAAATTTGAATATAGACTACTTAATAGTATTATATTATCTCTTAATATAGATAACTGTAGTGTGATTGTGTTAAGTAAAATCTATTAGAAAATATTCACTATAAATTTGAAATTATATCAAAGTTACTCCTAACAAATGACATGTATTAAATAAATAGAACTAGTTTACTAGATTACTATCTGAAATGTTTGTCTAATTTAAAATGTGTTAAACTAACTTTAAAAATAAAAAAAAACCCAGAGTGATGCTCACCTGAAATCCCAGCAACTTTAGAGACTAGAGCAGGAGGATTGCAAATTCAAGGCCAGCCTCAATAGTTTAGCAAGATCCTATCTCAAAAATAAAAATGGAGGGAATAAAGCTCAGTGTTTGGGAGCCCCTGGGTTTATTCCCCAGTACTGCAAAAATATATATTATGTAAAATTGCCCAAGTAGAGACTGGAGTTGTAGCGTGGTAGTGATCCTTGCCCAGTGTGCCCTGTACCACGAAAAAATCAAAACAAAACAATTTTTTTTTTTTTTAAAAAAAAAGCCCTGACTAGGAGAGGAATGCAGTAACGTTTTTTCTCCTGAGTCATTTACTTTGTAGTGACATGTTTCTCATTCCAGGTACTAAGTTCTAGATTCCCATTTTGAAACAAAGACATATTTACCAAAAACATAGTTTACTTTAGCAGTAGCAAGTGTTTCCTTTATATTGTTTAGAAAAAAATTAAATATACATTGTTTATTGTTCGTTTTTGTTAGTTCAGATATTGCCAAATTGTCTGGTCCTGCTTTGTTAATATTATGGTGGTATGAATTAAGGTGGTAGTATATATACTGCTTGGTTTACCTGGAAATGTCATTTACTTTTTGTTGTTTTAATAACCAAAGCAGTCTTTACAAGTTAAGCTCTTCTACATAGTAAGTAAAGGTAGCCATCGGAAACCATTCTTGGCTGGGCATGGTGGCCCATGCCTATAATCCCATCTACTTGGGAGGCTGAGGCAGGAGGATCACGAGTTCTTGGGCAATTTAGTGAGACACTGTCTCAAAATGCAAAGAAATTGGGGATGTAGTTTGTTGGTAGAACACCTTTGGTTTTAATCCTCAGTACCACCACCACCAAAAAAAAAAAAAAAAAAAAAATCTCAACTGTTTTCAAAACAACTTGAACTGAACTGTATATTCTACCAGCAACAAAATTGTCCAAGCTGTGAAAACATTTTTCTCTAGCCAGGATTTTTTTTTTTTTTTGAAACATTTCAAGCAAATAGAAGAGTTGAAAGAATAGTATAGTAAATACCCATATATCTAGTACATCTGTATGAAAATGTTTATTGAGTAATTATTATGGACTGGTTCTGTGCTAGCCAGTTGAGGCTGCAGTGGTGAGTAAGAGAGAAACTTAGTAGATTCAAGGGAACTGCTATCCCATTCTAAGAATCCCACTGCTTACAATTATGTTGAGGGAAGTCAGAAAACAGAAAAGATAAATACAGGGGAAATATTTGGACATATGTAGACAGTGTATTTCACATCCTAAACTGTTCTGTTTAGGGATATGACAATAAAGTTAGTCTTTTGCCTTTCTACCACACTGCATCAGTGGATTTTATGGAATATTTTATTTGCTTTCTTTTAAATATTGCTTTGGGCACAGTGTTTTGGATATTGAATTGCTGCTTGTATCTTCTGTTTGAGAAGTTCTAAAGGTGACTGGCTTAAGAAAAAAAAAAACTTTACACTTTAAGAACTTTTACACCACTACTCTTTCATTTTTTGACTCAGTGCTAAGTAGGAGGAAGATTCTGAGAATATTGAAATAGTTCAAAGAAGCATATATTAAGAATATAGAGAACTATACCAAAAAAGTTTTCAAATGTTCTAAGAAAGATTTAATACAGTAAAATCTTGGCAATCTAGAACTTGCAAAGAATGAATCATTCCAAATAATTGAGGGCTTGTCTGTTTAAATGCTAATTTTAAAAAGTCTTCCCAAAGTACTAATAATATGCATTCTGTAGTATCCTGTATAAAGCTTAATTTTTATTTATAGATGACCCATGCCATTATTATCAAAACCAATCATATTAATGCTGTGATCATAACTGTGAAAAAGTATCTAACAAAGTCTGCTAGAAAAATTGAAATGATTAAAGCATTTTTAAGACTAGTGGCATACAAGGTGATATGTTTTCCTAAAATTGAGTTAAACTATAACACAGTACCTTGGGGGTTTGTTTATATTGTTTATTTGGTTGTATTTAGAATTGGTGGTATATTTGTTAGGTTTTTATTTTTGTATTCTTTTTTTGTCAACTCTTATGTTTTTGTGTCCTCTATTAGACTGTCACTTCCTAGGACTGTGCTACCTCTAATAGGAAGTCTAAATATTTCTTTAAAAAGACCTTGTTTCAGGTACCAACCAAGCCATTATTAGCACACATCCTCTTGCTTCTTTTTCCCAACATAATAGCACTAGGATTGGAAAGTCATTTTGTGTAAAGCAGAAGGGAAAAGTGGGATATTCCTCCCTCATTGAGTTCCATGAATTCCCCTTTTTTAATTTTGCCTTCTATCTCCAGGAAGCTGAGAGATTTTGTGTCTTTTTTTAAAATTAATATTTTTATTTATATATGACAGCGGAATGTATTACAATTCTTATTACACATATAGAGCACAATTTTTTGTATCTCTAGTTGTATACAAAGTATATTCACATCAATTCGTGTCTCCATACATGTACTTTGGATAATGATGTCCATCACATTCCACCATCATTTCTAACCCCATGCCCCCTCCCCTCCCTTCCCACCCTTCTGCCCTATCTGGAGTTCATCTATTCCTCCCATGCTCCCTCTCCCTACCCCACTATGTGACATTGTGTTTTGAAGAGACCAAAAGCAGACTCAACAAGAGTTATGTTAAAAGAGTAAAAGAAAGCTTCTTAGTTTTTTTGCTTTTTGTTTGTTGGGATTTTTTCTTCTTTTCCTTGGAGAAGTTTGGAGTTTTCTTTCTTTGTTTTCCTTTTATAATAGAGTGTTTCTGTTTCTGATTATTATGAAAACAAAAATATAATCTTATATTTAAGTAGAAATAAAATTTGAATTTATAAGAAAAGCAATTCCTATGTCCTTTAAAAACAAATACCTTTGTTTTACTAATCTATTTATTTTATGTGGTGCTGAGGATCAAACCCAGGGCCTCACGTGTGCAAGGCAAGTGCTCTACTACTGAGCTCCAACCTCCATTCCTGTATCCTTTAATTAGTGAATGGGTATTAACAAAAATCAATCAGGTTTCATGACTCTTAAGACAGGAATCCCCCAGTCAGACTCTTAGTTCCTTCTGATTAAAACTTTAACTGTTGTTCTAATATTGTCTCTAACACTTCTTGAGTTATACTTGGACACTTTACTGAAAATCAACCAAAGCTCCTGTCTGTTTTATTCAATATCTGAAATGCTGATCTCATTTCTTGATGATTGCTAGTCACATTTGTTTTACATTTTTAAAATATACATGGACCGACTGCATGTACTTGTCATTTTTAATCCCCATATATAATTTTTAATGTGTAACTACAATAATTTGGTCAGTGAGTATTTTCTGTTTTCTCCACTATAGTTTCACTAACGTCAGTCTTAGGTAAGCACAGTAATTAAGAAAGAATGAATACTTTCACATATAGCAACAGAATTTTTATCAGAATTCATTGTAACCCTCAGGTTTCTGTTTTGGGTGATACATATTGCAACATGTGAACTTTCTCCATGTCTGCATTTCCTGTTCAGGGGACAAAACAGGTTTAAAATCTATTTAATTCACTAAAGATTTGGAAAATGCAACAGATTATTTTTTCTTCATTGGTTTTGACTCCTATTGATTATTGTTGGATTTCTTTCTTGGAATAGATGGGGAAAGAAGGAATCAAGTGATGATTCATGGAATTGAGCCAATGTTGGAAACACCTCTGCAGTGGCTAAGTGAACATCTGAGTTATCCGGATAATTTTCTTCATATTAGCATCATCCCCAAACAAACAGAGTGAAGCACCGACTCCTGGTCTGGAAGGAATCGCCCTGAAACAGGATTTACCAGAGCATGTCACTCTTTGATTCAATCAGGTTTGGTGGAGGCAACCTGACCAGAAACGCTTTGCTGCTGCAAGCCAAGCAGGAAAGAGATTCCATGTCAGATAAGGCAATTGGGCTGGTCTTGCTTTGCATCACCACTGCTTTCCTCCACTGCCGTCATTAAACCTCAGCTTCAACGTGAAAGACTTAACAGGGCCACTGCAGGTCTTCTGTTTTCTTGTAAAATATAATGAAGCTGAAACCTTTGGCCTGAGGAGACAATGGAAATATGTGCCACTCAGTTTGTATTTCTCATTAACAAATAAACAGGGGTATTTCCTAAGGTGACCATGATTGAACTTTAGCTCAACAGAATGGAAACATTGGTTGAATTTTCAAGAGAATTAGACTTAAGAAAGTAAAAGAGAAATTCTGTTATCAATAACTTGCAGTAATTTTTTGTAAAAGATCAAATTACAGTAAACCCATCTTTCCTTAATGAAAATTTCCTATGTTTACAGTCTGTCTCTTGGTATGCAAACAATCTTGTACTTTGATAATGAACAGTGAGAGATTTTTAAATAAAGCCTCAAAATATGTTTTGTCGTTTAATAACATACAATTTTGTCACTTTCCATGTACTTTCTGATTCCCATACAGTAAATCACTTTTTATTCTGTTTCCATTTTTTCATTGGCATGGGGTGGATACAGGGCATAGGATAACTTGTCTCAGGAGCTATAATAGAACTTATTGCTGCCTATTTTAAAACCTGTGTTCTCTATCACTGAAGCTATAAATAATGTTAAATGTTTATCTTTGCTGTTTGGTTTATCAGTGTAAACCTGTCAAATCATAGTACGCTAAGCATCTGTATGAAATAATTTTGCATATTTGGAAAAATCCATTCCTTTTCATCTTCTTGTTTTTCTTGGGCTCCAGGACTAATATTTCACTGTGGTCCCCTGGCAGCCAATCTTTGAAGTCTAAAGATTACCTATCTCTTGACTGCAGTAGCTTTTCCTTAACTTTACCAAAAATATCCAGATGTTACTGGAGTTCGCATCCACTATAAGGAAAGTTTGCTGCACATTGTCATAGGCTGCTGGGATTCTACCAACTAAACATATTTGTGTATTACCTTGATTTCTTGTGAGTAGCTTGCTGTTCATATTGAATGTCAATGCATTTGAGTATGCTGAAAGACACATATTATCATACAAGAATGGTTTTAGATTACCCAATAAAAATGAATGCTTTTCTTATAAAAAAAAAATTATATGATTGTTCAAATGGGATCCTGCTAGTGCTTATTGTTTTCTTTTTCCTTTTGTGATTTTTACTGCCTTTTAGTAAATTTACTCACAGAATGAGATAAAGTTGACTGGCCAAAGATCAAATATTCTGGAATAGAAATTATAAGGCACAATCAAAAAGAATAACATGAGGTATCAATTGCAGAAAAATAGACAAAGAAATGGCAGATGTAAATAAAATGAGAGGTGCCATTTTAGGAGAGGCAGGAAAAAAAATACCAATGTTTGAGTTATGTAAGGAAAAAAAAATCCACTAACTTGTATTTTTGTAAAAGAGGTTGGTCTGAATATGATTGTTCACATTAAAAGTGTTTGTTCGTCTATTCATTTGGGGATTTTCCCCCTTGCTGTTTTGACAGACTGAAGTGAGCTTCACTGAGCAAAAGGATCAGAATGCCAGGGAGTGCTAAGTGGTGGTAAAATGTGGTAAGAATGGTAAACCATAGTAGTTTTCCACAGATGAGGCCAGTGTGAGATATTTGCAGTGGACTCCAGTGAGCTACTGGCCTTTACTTCCAGATATGAAAGTAAATTTTGTCAAGCCATTTCCCATTTTTGTATAGTTGATCATTATAGCACCAGCATCATAACATTATTCTATAATCCCAGATAAGTCTACCCTCCAATGCCCCAGAGGAAGAATAAAGTGAAAACTAGTGCTGGCTTAAATGTCTACTTTTTCCTCTTAAATATTTGACTATTTATGTTTGATGTTTTATTAAAAAATTTAGTAAATGTTGTGTATGTGTTTATTTCTGGAAGTTAGAAATGAAATTTATGTAAAACATTCATCATTGAAGAAACTAAAAACTATTGGCATTGTCAACTAAAAAGGAAGAGATTCAGACTAAATAAACCATTGCTTATCCTTCATTATGTTAATATTCATTTAGATGGCCTCAGTTCTGACCACGAACAAAGTTGAATTGATTAGCAATATGATTTCGTTGTGTATCTAGATACTTGCAGTGACTTGTTCATAATTCAACAAAATTGACCTAATGATATTTATATAAGCCACATTCCGGTCAGAGTATGTGGGGGATCATCCACGAAATGGCTAGTCTTATGTTAATCACTTTGAATGGGAAGTAAATTGATCATTTTCTAAGATAACTATATATATATATATATATATAAGATTTGACATTGAATGACAATAACTTTTAATGGTTATCTTTCTGGGTATTTCTTTTAATAGACTATTTTCAGGTAACTCTTTCTTCCTTTCAATTTTCAGAAATTTGGTTCGTATGGGTCATGCCAGAAAATGACAGTCCCACCTTTTATTTGCCACACTGTTGCTATTTAGGTGTGAATTGGGTTTCCTGTTATATGAGCCACATAATTCAAATACAATTGTAAAATCTTGGGATATGATGGGGAAAATCAAATGTGACCATATTTAGGAAAATTTGGACCCATTCATAGATAATCACTGGGATGGCATCAGTTCCCATACCTGTTTGTCTCTTTAGTTGTCATCCTCTCAAGTTTTCTAAATATATTCTCCTGATCTGAAAGAGTTACAGGGGTGGTAGAGAGAAAAAGAGATAAGCATGCCTCTTTTCAGATGAGTTGAAGTTAAATGACACTGTGTACTTAGAGGTTCATTGAACTTTATGATGGTGCTGAAGTGATACGCATGCATAGGAATTGCACTTCACATTTTTGTCTTTTGGTCTTTCTCAAGCTGGCGATATGTGGAGGAGTACTCCCTTAAGCTGGGCATAGAGACAGAGCTGCAGTTCCCTGTGGGTTTTATGATCTGAGGATAAACAACCCGTATTCTGCCGTTTATTGTGTTGCAAAGCTATGATATTTGATAGTATTCACAGTATTTTCAGCTTCCTAATCTACTGAGTCAATTTGTATAAAACTTTGTACATTGGTATAAAAATTAATTTACTGTGTAGCCTCAGAACAAAAGGATCCTTCAGATCCTCTCAAATACTGTAAACTTAATTCTCCAAACATTAGCAAATATAGCACCACTATGAAATCTAGTAGGCATAATACAGTTGCTGTAGAGTGAAAGAAAGAATCAATTTGTAGGTCCTTTAGGTAGCTCATTAAGTAGTATGTTTTTAAATACTGAATCATTTTTGTTTATTTAGAATGTGTGAGAATGGTAGTGAATTAAAGGCAAATCGGTATTTAGGGATGTCACTGTGCTTTGACATAACTCTTGATTGCTCTGAAAGTGATTAGTTTCACTTCTGTAGCTTCCCTACCTCTAAATCGTAAGGATACAACCAGGCCTTTTCCTTTGTTTTCCTTGGTTCTTAGTAGAGGATTTAGCAGATAGTTGGTGCTTAGGAAATGTGTATAAGAAGAAAAATGAACAATTAATGGCATTTAAAAATTGGTCTTATGTTTTAGTTGGTCTTATGTTAAAATTACCAGCTATTAAAAATAGTAAAAGCCATGTCATTTAGAAATCAATATACAAAGTTCAGTTAGTTCAGGTTGGCATCACTGATGAAGACATGCTTACTCAAACTGGCTACTTTCAGTAGGAACCACTGTGGACCAGATCCTTGCGTCAGTCCACATTCATTTTAGTTGTAGTGTAGACCGCAGCACATATCTTCTGTTTCAACATCACTCTAATTTAAGCAGCCCCTCAAGTTTGAGCTATTCTCACCAAGCATCTGGAGGTATTTATTAATTCTGACCTTTTCATAAATGAGTAGTTAGGTCTTGATTTTGCTTCTAAGACTCTGAAAATGAGAGTTGTTTGATCCATCATTTCCCAATCTTTCTTGACTATACAGTCTTTTTCTCCTGTAGTCTCACAACATCCTATTGAACTGTAATTGGGAAAGAGGATAAATCTTATTCCTCTCTTTCTAGTTATTTGAAAGAAGCTCCCAAGCTTCTGACTCATCTCCAGTTTGTAGTCTGTCTGTTTCTGCATCCAGATGTGTCCCATTTTGTTAGTTTTGTCACTCTTGAAATTCATCTAGCAATATCTGCCAAGTAATCAGTGGCTGGAGGAAAAAACCTTCCCAATTCTTGGATGAGACTTCTGTATTTGTGTGTGTGGTGGTGGGGATCAAACTCAGGATCTCATCACTGAGCTGCATCTCCTGCCTCAAAGGTTAGGTATAAGAGTATAAATCAAATGTGAATATTTATTCTCAGGGAGTCACCATAAATCTAGCCAACAGAGCCCTGGGGCTGAAACGTGACGTTTTGTGAATAACACCCAAAGCCCCAGTTGGAGCACAGCTAAAGTCAAGTAGAAGGGGTCTGACTTCACAGGTGAGTGGCCCTGTGGCACTGGCACATGCAGCCAAGATTTCTGATTTCTAGCTAGATACTGTAGTGATTTGGAATATGATGACTGTCTTTTTGAGTTGTCTAGTGCATATTTTTCAAATATGTTGGTGGAAGCTATATATAAGTTGGTTTTGATGCTCATGTTATTCAACTATTGGGTTTTAGGTTTGTTTTACAGATATAATAATTTACTGACTTATAAATTATATGATCTCTGTGATTTTGTGCAGGGCTAGGGAAATTTTTCATCCCATGACTACCAGCCTTTTTCTGGGTATACCTACTTAACCACATCCCCCTTAAAATTTTGATAGTTCATTCTCAATGCCTGCTAGACTTATTTTTGTCATTATTTTAGAATTTGTTATATAATATGAAATATCAACCTATCTTGAGGTCTCTGACTGTAAGGATGCTGGTAATCAAATGTGACATAATAGTGTATGGTGGATATCCACCATTCTAGATGGAACAAAGCCCATGTTATTCTTAGAGGAGAACATTTAGAAAATCTTGGTAAAACCAGTGCTAATTGCTAGTCATGTTTTAGGCATATTCTTGATTTTATAGTATTCTGTGTGATATGCTTATTCAAACATTTATTAAGCAAATAGGGTTGGGTGTTTTAGAAAGAGAAAGATGATCTCTGACCTTAAGATACCTCAATAAGAGGAGAGAAGTGGGTTGGGATCTATACAGCATAAAATTTGGGAACTTCAACCAGGAAGGTACAAAAAAGAACTGAGAAAATAGAGCTGAGTGATGATTTACTTTGAGCTAACTTAGATAATACCTTGCTTGACTTCAGTATCATTTGAAGTTGGTCACACTGTGCTTCATTTTTCAAATACTTTCTTCACTGGATGCCATAGCATCCTAGTTTTCCTCTTACCCCCGTTGATTCTTGTATATATATTAGTTGTCAATGGATATTTCATTTATTTATATGTGGTGCTGAGGATTAAACCCAGGCAAGTGCTCTACCACTGAGCTACTACTCCACACCCCACCGCTCTGCCCCTGTTGATTCTTAATTCCTAAATGTTGAAATATCCAGAGCTTAGGCTTTGTTACCTTTTCTTTAACTGCACTTAGTACTTAAGCTCATCACACAGTTTTTAACACCCTGTGTGTGTTCTCTCTAATATTAACCTCTTCTGGGCTCCAAATGTAAATAAATCAGCCTCCTACTTGACATCTGTGTCATATATGTAATAATTCAATTTGAGGGATCAAAGCAGGACTCTTGTCTTTTTACCCTCAAACTTGTATCTCTTCCATTCTTTTCTGTTTAATAAATGTTACCCAGGAGTCAAGTTTTAGTTCCTTTCTCATCCATTCTATATCCATCAATAATTCCTGATGAGTCTACCTGATTCTATCTGCTTACCACATTTCCTGCTGCTATGGCTAAGCAATCAGCCATCATCTCACCTGAACTATTACAGTAGCCTCCTCTTGGTCTCCCTGCCCCATTTATGCTCCCCTTCAATCTTCAACATATAGTGTTTTTTTTTTAATTAGTTGCACATAATAGTAGAATTCATCTCACTCTGGATTTATATATTTGTTAATGGCTATGTAACTAACCATCATTGAATGCTTACAGCGTCCTAGACACTAAATTAAGTGTTTTTCAAGTGTTATTTTATTTCAGAACTATCTGAGACAGATACTAATATTATCCCCATGGAGAAACAGGCGTGGAACAATTCAGTAACTTTCCCAGCATGATGAAGAAAGTGACAGAGCAGGTCACACCCAGGCAGAATGGGTCCAGAGTACTCCCCTCACTTCCTGCAGGTGGCTTGACTTACTTTTGGTCTCAAAACAGACTTAGTTCATTCCACAATGAATGGGGGATGCTCATCTCTTTGTCCCCATATCTCTAACAGTGTCTAGGACAGCACAGAGGCTTATTGAATATTCATTGAATGAATCTGTTTTCACAAGTGAGGGGTTAGGCAAAGCTTGCTTAAAGAAGTGGCTTTGGACTGATCTTAAAGGGAAAGAAAATAAAGTGACAGAACCACATGAACAAAAGTTCAGAGGGCAGGTTGTCTAGCCGGGCTGGCACTTAAGTCACTCATAGGAGAAGGGGGAATTTGATAGAAAAGATTGATTCTAACAAGATTATAGAAAACCTTGACTAGCAGGTTAAGGAGATGAAATCTTATTCAATATATAGGAAGAGCTGCTGAACATTCATAGTAGTTATATCAGAGCAATCATTCAGGGTGCCAAGTGGTGGCAGTGTATGGGGAGGTTTGGAACAAGCTTAGTCTAGGAGACAATTGAGAGAAAGACCCTGTAATTGACAATCCAGTGGTAGCATAGCAGCAGAATGCTTTTTAAAAAAAAAAAAAAAAAAACTAGAACTTAACTCAAACATTCAGGAAAATGGCAAAGAGAAGCTTCTCAGGAGCAGGACAGCCTGGTCAAAAGTTGGTCTGCCAGACCCCCTTGCCTGCTATTACAACCACTCAAACTTATGAGTTCTTAGTCCTCAGACAGCTGAACACCTCTGACCTGAATCTATTGGAAAAAAGTGTGATGAATTTCCAACCAAAGGAAAAATAGTGTTAAAA